ACACTACAGACCAACGTAGTTTCTTGTCGGTCAAAGCAATGTTGATAATGGGGTGGATGAATTATGACAAGCCAACTATATGCCATTCCAGATATCACAGCAGGCCTAAAGCACGCTCCCACTGATCTGCAATGGCAAGAGATGAATTGCTATGTGGCATGAATCTACTGGAGCAAAGGGATGCAGCCACAAGGGCAAGACAACAGTGGTGACTGACATGGTCACCAATAGTGAGTGACGAGGTGAGTCCCATGTGGCTACGTGATCTGCAATGGCCAGTGAGGAGGTGAGGCCGGGGGACTCTATCCCCACAAGGTTGATGAGGCCAGGAGGAATGTCAGGTGTGGCGTGCATCTCGTAGTGCCACATGAAGGGACAGAGTATCAAAGTAGCGAAGTGTACTCTAGCAAGAGCGTAAAGGGTGATATAAGGGTTTAGGGTTGTACTCTCTAAGAGCATGAGCCTGTCTAGCCAATAACTATACATGTACAGCAAATGTATCAGTTGACATACCCCCTAGGCTAGATAAGGGGCAGTGCCTAGCAGGAGACAAGCAGCTCAGGGCGGCACTACTAGTCCAACCTCTGAGGCAAGGGTCTTAAGACCAGTCAGCAAGAGTACAAACTAAACAAGAGTAACCTAGAGCGACACTACTAGTCCAGCCACTGGGACACGAGTCACAGGGCCAGTCAAGATACTGAAATAGAAAGAGTAGTACACAATCAGGGTCCTAGCAAGTGAGGAGCTACTGGAACTAGACCAAGCTGTACACAGTGCTGCTGATGATCTTTAGGCGCAAGTGCCTCAGTAAAGATATCAAATGTGTTGGCACCGGAGGCCAAGTGTGCTACCCGTGCCTGGTGGCGCTGTTGTAGCTCGCGCAGGAGGAAGTACCGCAGCTGATGCTTCGATCTGCCCTCTAGTCGAGGCTCTTGGCACAGGAGGATCATGGTCTTGTTGTCAGCGTACAAGACCGGAGCAGAGCTAGGCCGCTCACCTAAGTCTGTGAGCACGAATGTCAGCCAATGGAGCTCCAGTGCCACCATGGCACTAGCGTAGATCTCAGCCTCACAGCTGGAATCTGCTATAGACGATGAGCGCGTGGACCTCCATGAGATAGTGCTTGCACCAAGGCTAAAGTAGTAGCCCTGAGAGGACCTGAGTTTCACTCCGTTGTCCGCCCACGAAGCGTCTGTGTGCCCTGTGAGAACCACTGGCCTGCGTCCTCGCAGCACTACCCCCATGCATGATGCACTTGCTAGATATCAAAACACCCTCTTGGCAGCCGACTAGTGCTGAGGCCGGTGTCTGCCTGTCACGACAAAGCGTGCGAGGATACTAAGAGGGTATGCAAGATCTGGACGAGTGCAAGTCATCAGATGCATGACGCAGCCCACGAGCTTTGCGTAATGACCACTAGGCTCGACCGGCTCGTCAGGAACTGTAGCCGAGAGCCTTTGATCAACAGGCAGAGGGATGGGCTGTGTGGAGGAGAACTGAAGGCCAAACCTCTGAAAGACCTGGCGCACCAAGTGTGAGTGTGAGAGGGTGATGGTGCGCGCTGCTCTGCCCCTGGAGATCTGCAGCCCGAGGTAGCGGCGCAACTCTCCTAGGTCAGTGCAGGTGTGTCTCCTCAGCAGCTCGGCCTTAACCGAGGCCAGCGCGTCTCTATCTGCAATAGCAAAGACAAGTTCGTCTATGTAGACTAGGATGTAGAACCGAGTCTAGCGTGAGTGAACGAAGAGAGACGGGTCAGTAGCTGACGGAACGAACTGAAGGTCTGTTAGTGTGGCACGCACTGTGTCTCTCCACTTACGGGACGCCTGTCGCAGACTGTAGACCGGGCGTCGAAGGAACTATTCGATCCCAGGAGGGAAAGAGCCACTGAAGTCCGGCGGGCGACGTAGGTACAGTAGATCTACTCGTTAAGACTGCTCTGGAGAAACGCAGTGGAGAATTCAAGCGAGTGAAGCTCGTAGTCGCGCTGTGGTGCTACGTGAAGCAGCGCCCGGAGAGTTGTCATCTTTGGGTTCGGGGCGAAGGTCTGGAAGAAGTCAACCCCCTCACGCTGACTAAAGCCTCTTGCAATGTAGCATGCGTTGAACACCGGCGGCTCTCCAGGCGTGCGCTTTGCTTTGAAGAGCCACCGGCCATCGACTACGTTCGCTCCATGTGGGGAAACTGCATCGACATAAGTGCCAGTGTATCTCCAAGATGCCATCTCTGCGTCCATGGGAGCTATCCACTAAGAGGCCCAAGGTCCCGATGTCGTCGTAGCGTAGGTGCGATGGGTCGGGATGTCAAGAGCGTCTAGGTCATCCTCAAGGGCTAGCAGCATGGAGCAGAGATGAGGTGTGACCTCTGCAAGGAATGCTAGCTCGTATTGCCTATCCTCTAGGACGTCACTGCCAAGGGCAGGTGCACCCCCGGCGGACTGAGGAGGGGCAGGGTCAGAGACCAGAGCAATATCGAAGTCAAGGCATTAGGTAGAGGCAAAGTCAGCGACGGCAGCCACAAGAGCCATGAAACTAGAGACAGGAACGGACGGGTCGGTAACGAGAGAGGCTAGGACACGAGGAACAAGAGGACGATCAGCATGGAGGAATTCAGAGAGAGGAGGAGAGGAGACTGCGAGAGATGACAGAGGAGGCGGCGGGAGAACAGGAGCGTGAGGAGCACGAGACACGTGAGAACGAAGAAAATTTGGGTGGACACTCGGAACAGGAGAGACGGAGTGAGCATGAGAGGCATAGTGAGATCACTAGCTGGAAGGAGGTGTCCGGTCAAGAGACAAAGGAGGAGACACAGAAGGAGAACGAGAGGGGAAAAGAGCCGGGGTCGAGTCTGGCGCAGGAAACTCGGGTCAGGAGAGGGAAGACCGAGGAGGTGAAGAGCGGACACCAGCTGCTGCTGCTGCTGCTCCGCGCCTACACCAGGACCTCCAGCCACACCACGGCCACCCCCGGTACTCACCACAACTGCACCCCAGAACTAGCACCCCCTGAGCTAGCACCCCCCTCAGAACCAGCACCCCCGGTGCCAACACCCCCAGAGCCCACCGACCCCTGCTGCTGCGGCGGCGCCGACTGGTGCGGCTGCAGCAGCGGAGGCACTGGGGCCAGGGGTGCAGACGCAGCAGAAACATGCGGCTCACCCTGAGCCCCAGGGCCACCGGAGTCAGGAGACTCCTCCGCCGGGCCAACTGGAGGAAGGGGATTGATGGAGCGACACACTAGACGGGGCAGGATGGGGAGGGAGGGGAGCGAGAGCTACCGAGGGAGTGGGGACAAGGAACATTGTCGAGGTAAATGAGAGACCTCGGTGGGGTAAACGGGTGTAGAAGGAGACAAACTCGTCGAAAGTGACGTCACGGGAGTGAAAGAAACGATGAAACCACGGGTGGTAGAAGTGTCAGTCAGAAGTGTCTAGGGAAAAACCAAGAAAGACACAACGGACGGTGCGGGCGGTGAGCTTCTCCTTGCCAGAGGCGACAAAGTCGGTAAGGGTGAGGTCAGCGGGGTGGAGACTAAGGAAGGTATCACGAGCTGTGGCTAGGCGATCAGAGAGGCGCGTGGCTAGGAAATAAAGGGTGGCGCCGAGAGAGGGGGGGACTACAGTGACCTGAGCCTCAGTGCTAGCATCGCGGTAGCTAGACTCAAGGGCGCACATGTGGGTGGCCAAGTCAACGACAGTGGGGAAGGAAGCTAAGTCAGGGAAGAGCAAGGGCAGGAAGAGACGGCCAGCAGAGGCGGAGGAGGGAGTAGAAGAGTGGGCGATAACAGTGTCTAGGTACTCCTTCGCTGTCTCTAGGGCCTGAAAGCGGGGATGCTCGGACAGCGAGAGGGCGTGACCGATAGCTAGCTGCGTAGTAGCGTTACGCGACTCCCAGAAAGAGCGAGCAAGCTCAGTAGATGTGAAAGCCTCACGCTCAGCAGGCGTGGCATCGTCGGGGAGGGCAGCAGACGTGGGGGGAGAGGGCAGCTTACTGTCGATATGGACGGCCAGAGACCGGCCATCCTGGCGCTGACCCTTCAGCTCGTGGCGCAGGTCGGCGAGCCACGCCTCGAAGTCCACCGCACGACCCTCTGCATCCAGGCGGAGAACGGTGTCCGCCATCACGGACAGCTGCAGCAGCGGTACAACGTAGGAGGAGGAGAATGAGGAAGCCGACGGGTGCAGTGGAGTGCGGTGGAGGGTGGTGGAGAGCGGCAGAGGGCGGTGGAGTGCGGTGGAGTGCGGTGGGGAGCGGTGAAGATGCGGGTGTGCGGACGGCCGGCGACGGTGCCGGCTGAGAGGGGACACCAGGGCCGGCGGCGAGCAGGGGACGGCGGGGAGCAGGGGCCGGCACGGCTAGCAGGGGCCGGTGCAAGCTGGGGCCGGCAGCAGCGAGCAGAGGCTGGCGTGGCGAGTTGGGGCGGCGCGGCGAGCTAGGGCCGGCGCAGCGATCTGGGGAGGTGCGGCAAGCTGGGGCCGACGCGGCGAGATGGGGCCAGCGCGGCGAGCTGGGCCCGACGCGGCGAGCTGGGGCGGCGCGGCGAGCTGGGGCCGGCGCGGCGAGCTGGGTCCGACGCGGCGAGCTGGGGCGGCGCGGCAAGCTGGGGCCGGCGCGGCAAGGAGAGGCCAGCGCGGCGAGGAGGGGCCGGCGGTGAGCTAGGGCTGACGCGGCGAGCAGGGGCCTGCACGGAGGGCTAGGGGCCAGCGCAGCAGGCGAGGGCCAGCGCGGCACGACGGGCTAAGGGCCAGCGCGGCGCGGAGGGCTAGGGGCCAGCGCGGCGCAGCAAGCTCAGGCTGAAGCGGCGAGCAGAGGGCCAGCGCGGAAGGATAGGGCCAGCGCTGCAAGCTAGGGCCAGCAAGGCGCGGCGGGCTGGGGCTGGTGCGGCGAGCTAGGACAGGAGCGCGCAACGGGCAGGGCGCTGTAAGGGGCGGGGCGCTCTACGGTTGGCTAGGGCGGAAGCGCGGGTGGGTGGGACCTACCTAGCGTGATACCATATCGAAGTAGGGAAGTGTACTCTAGCAAGAGCATACATGGTGATATAAGGGTTTCGGGTTGTACTCTCTACGAGCACGAACCTGTCTAGCCTATAACTATACATGTACAGCAAATGTATAAGTTGACACAGAGCTACCAGCCCAAGCCTACAACAGACTCTTCACGTGATCTGCAATGGCCAGTGAGGAGGTGAGGCCCGGGGACTCTATCCCCAGGAGGTTGATGAGGCCAGGAGGAATGCCATGCGTGGCGTGCCTCTGTTTTAGGAAGGGGACGGGACGGGAGGTGGAGGTTTGAGTTGAGGTGGCTCAAGAAGGATGGTATCGTGTCGTGATTCTTCTGATAATCAGAAGATGAGAACCCGGGGTGAGAGAGGAGAGCCAAAGGGCAGGCAGAGCCGCATGCTATGCTACTGTTCCGCTACAATGTTAGTAAAGCTAACGAGTTGCCAAAAGAACACAAATCAAAAGCCATGCCGATTAGATAAAAGCCTTTCTTACCTGAAATACGGAATCAGTCGTCGGTTCTCAAGGACCACTCAGCTTCGGTCGAATGCCCACATAGTCCAGTGCAGGGCACCGCTTTGCAGTGAGGGGAAGTACTTGCGAAAAGCAGAGTAGAAGGCGATTGCCCAATTACTAGGCCCACTGTCCTACCAGGCTCACAAACACCACGGTACCTGAATTAGACAGGTGGTTTTCAGGGTTCTCTAAAACCCCTCACAAACGCCAGTGTACCTGTATGAGAAATTCCGCAGCTGGTTCTCCCGGGCCGGTGAGCTTGGGGCGAATGCCCACATAGTCTGGGTGCAGAGCACCGTCCTGTAGTGAGGGGAAGTACTTACGGATAGCAGAGTAGAAGGAGATTGCCCAATTACTAGGCCCACTCCGCTCACAAACACCACTGTACCTGAATGAGAAAGTCCGCAGCTGGTTCTCCTGGGCCGGTGAGCTTGGGGCGAATGCCCGCATAGTCTGCGTGCAGAGCACCGTCTTGTAGCGAGGGGAAGTACTTGCGAATAGCAGAGTAGAAGGCAATGGCTCAATCACAAACGCCACTGTACCTGAATAAGAAAGTCCTCAGCTGGTTCTCCTGGGCCGGTCAGCTTGGGGCGAATGCCGGCATAGTCTGCGTGCAGGGCACCGTCCTGCAGCGAGGGGAAGTACTTGCGGATCGCAGCGTAGAAGGCAGTGGCTCTGCTGGGGTCCACTGAATAGTCGTAGCTGCAGTGGCGTAAGGGCGGGGGGGGGGAGGGGATTATTGTCTAGTCTGGGTGCAGGGCACCATCTTGCAGCGCGGGGAAGAAGATGCGGATCGCAGAGCAGAAGGCAGTGGCTCTGCTGGGGTCCACTGAGCAGTTGTAGAGGAAGTGGGGAAGAGTGGGGACGGAGGGGTGGGAGAGGGGGTGATCGTCGGGTCGGGTGGCAGGGGACAGGGAGGTGTTTGCGCACGACACTGTGGAGAGGCACTTCTGGTAGGAGAAGGGTTGGGTCTGATGGGCGAAGGGTGGGGGAGAAGGGTGGTGTGAAAGAAGGGTGTGAAGTGTCTACCTGATAGGCAATCCGTGAGAAGCCGAGAGCGGTACCGCATTCAACAACTGCATGTCCGGTCCGAACATCACACGCCCGGCCAGGTCCAGGGTGGCGTGCACGCCCAGTCCCCCCGGCTCCGGCAAGGGATACACGAGGCGGGAGAAGTGTTCACCTGATCGGCTGGCCGTGAGCAGCAGAGAGCGGCACCGCATTCAACCACTGCACGTCCGGTCCGAACCGCACTCGCCCCGCCAGATCCAGGGTGGCATGCACGCCCAGGCCCCCCGGCTCCGGCAAGGGATACACGAGGCGGGAGAACGGTGCGGCGCCGGCATGGGCGAAGTAATGGCCGCGCGCCAAGTGGAGAGGAGGCAGAGGAGGCAAGTGAGCGTTGTCAAGGGTGGGTCTCGAATGATGGAAGGTTCTCAGACGTGTGTGGTAAGCGAGGGGTACGGCTTCGAGCCCAGCAGCGTTGACCACATAGCGCGAGTACAGCGACGTGGTGGCGGTGGTGGCGGTGGAGGCGGTGGTGGCGGTGGTGGCAGTGGTGGTGGTGGTGTTTGCCATTCCAACATTGGAGGATGGGCTGGGGGGTGATTGCTGACTGTGTTTGGGAGCGGAAGACGGGATAGACTTGTCGAAGTTGTTGGAGTTTCGGATGGTGGTGAGGAGAGGGAAGGGGTCGGAGGGATGGGCTTGGATGGCCACTGCTGCAGAGTTGAACGCGAAAACCGCCCCTGCTGCCTCTGCTTCTGCCTGCTCTGTAGGTGCAGGGAGAGAGGAGAGATAATCAGGGACAGAGGGACGGCAATGATGGAAGCAAATTCAACTAATTGCTTCTGCCTGCTCTGTAGGTGCAGGGAGTGAAAGGTTCGGAGAGGCAGAGGAAACGTCGAGAGGGAAAGCGGGAAAACATGAGGCGCAGCATGAGGTGGGCGCAGCATGAGGCGCAGCATGAGGCGCAGCATGAGGCGGGCGCAGCATGAGGCGCAGCATGAGGCGGGCGCAACATCAACGACAGCAACAGAGACTTCTGCTGCTTCTGGATGATAATAATAATAATAATAATAATGAGGGCTGACTTCTGAGTCGAGTCAAAAGGGAAGCAGCAGCATGGATGGGAGGGAAAACGTTCGAAGGGAAGCGAAGCTAAAGCGGCAGAGAGGAGTTATCACACACACAGCTAGGGCCACAGCGTTTGACCTGTAGAGCTAGCATGAGAGCATGCGAGTCCAGAATTCCTGTGTGTGGCGACAGCAGCGCCGCATGGCAGTCCACGTGAGGCTCGAGCAGCCTCGCTTCCTCCCTAGAGACCATTCGCAGACCTTCCACCCCGTTGCCCTCTGCGTGGCGCTGGTAAGAGGCAAGCATGGCAGCGGAAACAGAGGGGACATTTGAGCCGACTCAAACGTGACCAAGCATGGAAGTGGAAACAGAGGGACCGCATGGCGCTCCCGGTGAGGCTTGAGCAGCCTCGCTTCCTCCTCAGTACTCATCCGCAGACCCTCCACCCCGTTGCCCTCTGTGTGGCGCTGCAATGCACATGAAAGGCAAGGGGCAGAGGAATTTGTTCGCTGGAAGATGCAAGGGGAGAAACATGAGAGCAGCAACGAGGGGAAGCAGGATAATTGTTCCCTCCTCTCATGCGAGGCTAGAGGAGGGCGGGGTGAGGAGGGCGGGATGAGGAGGGTGGGGTGAGGAGGGCTGGGTGAGGAGGGTGGGGTGAGGAGGGCGAGCAAGCGAGGGGAATCAGGAAAGTTGTACTCGCCTTAAGCTGCTGCAGCTGTGGCACTTGGTCCGCTGACGTGGCAACCACCAGCTTGCCGACCCTGCGGTGCGGCACTCCCCTGTCCTCACAGAAAGCATACAGCTGTCGCCGCCCTTCCACACACAGGCGTGCCTGATGCGCGAAGCGAGGCAGGTGGGAGGGAAGGGGGACGAGTGGGGGGAAAAGGGGGACGAGTGGGGGGTTAGGAGGAAGAGTGGGGGGGGGAGAAGTGAAGAGTATGTGGAAGTGAACAACAATGTGCTGGCGCCACTGCCAGTGCTGGCGCCACTATACCTAGAATGACACCTTGAGCCGTCCCAAGGCAGGGCTCAAGTTCCAGCCCTCGTGCCACTGCCAGCCCTCGTGCCACTGCCAGCCCTCGTGCCACTGCCAGCCTTCGTGCCACTGCCGGCCTTCGTGCCACTGCCAGCCCTCGTGCCACTGCCAGCCTTCGTGCCACTGCCAGCCCTCGTGCCACTGCCAGCCTTCGTGCCACTGCCAGCCTTCGTGCCACTGCCAGCCTTCGTGCCACTGCCGGCCTTCGTGCCACTGCCAGCCCTCGTGCCACTGCCAGCCTTCGTGCCACTGCCAGCCCTCGTGCCACTGCTTGCCTTCGTGCCACTGCCAGCCTTCGTGCCACTGCCAGCCTTCGTGCCGCACACATACCTTCAGAGACCCATGCGGGTAGTACAGCCCTGCATGAATCACCTCGCTGTTCCGCGAGCTGATTCCGACCCCCACTCCCCCAGTCCCTTCAACCACCACCACCTCCCGCCCCGCCCCACCCCTGCCAGTGCTTGTGCCTCACACATACCTTGACCTTCACATGCACCTTCAACGACCCATGTGCGTAGTACAGCCCTGCGTGGATCACTTCGCTGTTCCGCGAGCTGATTCCGCCCCCCACGTCGGCCCCCGCCTCCACCACCAGCACCTCCCGCCCCGCCACTGCCAGCGCGCGCGCCACCGCCAGCCCCACCACGCCTGCGCCCACCACCACACACTCCACCTCCTCCCTCTCCCTCGCCTCAAAATCCACCACTCTGCTCTCCACTCTCTCGCCTCTCTCGTCTCTCTCGCCTCTCTCGCCCGCCAGCCCAACCACGCCTGCCCCCACCACCACACACCCCGCCTCCTCCCCCTCACCCGCCCCTTCTCCCGCACCGCCAACGGCTGCTGCGCGCGTGGTTACTACCCGCCGCCCCCACTCCTGCGGAGGCACGTCGGCGGGGTCTGGCCTGCGCACGGGGCATGCCGCCGGGGAAGGCGAGCGGGGCGGCGCAAACGGCGCGGGGCGTGACGCATGGGCGGACGAGGGGAGGAAGTTATAATGCGCGGAAGATGTCGCGGGCAAGGGCAGCGGCGCGTGAGGCGCGGGAGCGCTGGGATGCGCGGGTGCGGATGGAGGCGGAGCGGTGGAGGCGGAATGGGCTACGGGAAAGGAAGGGGCGCGCGGTTGAAAAGGGGGAGGGGGAGCGGCGGAAAGAGAGAGGACTCTGATGAGGCTGGGATGGTGGCGGGATAGTCGAGGGGGCCGACGGCGGGAGAAAGCGCGAGCAGCGGACATGGTAGAACGAGCGACGCGTGGGGTACGTCGCACACGATCGTGGGCGTCACGTGTGCGATCGTGCGACGGCGTCGTCACATTCTGTGACGACTCCCTTGTTTCGTTGGAGTCAGAACCAGGGCGCTATTTATCGTGCATGCCATATGGTGTTGGACGGCCCCCTTGCAGCACCCCTTGCTGGGCAGCACGCAGTGCATGCTGACTTCTGCAGGACGCGTTATGGTACAGTCCGTTTTAAATTATGCAAATTCAGTTGAAGTCAGCCTACTTCCTAAGAGGCTTCACATAACAAGCAAAGTAGCCCTAGAAAGTCCAAAACCGCACCAAAAAGAAAATTAATCACGAAGCATTGCACTGTTGTTATCGCGCTTATTCGAAAAATGCAAACAACACTACATTCGCAATCGTGCTCCACACAAGCCCCGTGCTACACCTTGGATGCTCCTCCACACATTTCCAGTGTTCCTGTTGCAGCAGGCACCTCATCTCATCTGCCCCACGCCCTCCCTCTGCATCCGTGCAGCAGCCATCTTAGCACCAGGGCACGCCCGGTAATGTGAGCTGCCAGCACTGAGGCACATGCTGCTACAGAGGCTGCTGTTACAACCGATGCTGCCACAGCAGATGCTGCTACAGCAGATGCTGCTACAGCAGATGCTGCTACAGCAGATGCTGCTACAGCAGATGCTGCTACAGCAGATGCTGCTACAGCAGATGCTGCTACAGCAGATGCTGCTACAGCAGATGCTGCTACAGCAGATGCTGCTACAGCAGATGCTGCTACAGAGGCTGCTGTTACAACCGATGCTGCCACAGCAGATGCTGCTACAGCAGATGCTGCTACAGCAGATGCTGCTACAGCAGATGCTGCTACAGCAGATGCTGCTACAGCAGATGCTGCTACAGCAGATGCTGCTACAGCAGATGCTGCTACAGCAGATGCTGCTACAGCAGATGCTGCTACAGCAGATGCTGCTACAGCAGATGCTGCTACAGCAGATGCTGCTACAGCAGATGCTGCTACAGCAGATGCTGCTACAGCAGATGCTGCTACAGCAGATGCTGCTACAGCAGATGCTGCTACAGCAGATGCTGCTACAGCAGATGCTGCTACAGCAGATGCTGCTACAGCAGATGCTGCTACAGCAGATGCTGCTACAGCAGATGCTGCTACACCAGATGCTGCTACAGTAGGTGATAGACCTCAGGTGTTGGAGTCACCCCTTAGGCGGCTGCTGCTCTCCCACCCTCTGCCACCCCATGGCTGCTGCACTCCCACCCTCGGCCACCCCATGGCTGCTGGCCTGCTGCCCTCCTCGCACCAGACCAGGCTCAGGAATGTGGGCTGCTGATGCTGAAAAAGATGCTGCTTCAGTGGATGCTACACCTCCGGCACTGTGCTCACTCCCTCTGCTGCTGCTGCTGCTGCTGCTGCTGCACTCCCTCCCTCTGCTACCCCACCATTGCTCGGCTGCAGCCCTCCTAGCACGAGAGCAGGCCCTGAAACATCAATCACTGATGTTGCACCTGCAGGTGCTACTGATGATGCTGCTACAGTATATGGTGCTACAGTAGGCGGTGCTACAGTGAACGGTGCTACAACAGATGGTGCCGCAGCAGACTCTACTGTAGCAGACGGTGGGGCAGACGCAGAAGGCATGCCGAGGGCAGGGGCCAGAGGTGGAGGGGCAGAAACAGGCACGGTGGAAATGGCAGGAGCAGGGGCAGGGGCAGGGGCTGGAGCCGAAACATCAGGCGGGGCGGCAACATCAGGAGCGGCAGATATTGGCACAGGAGCACCAGACCCGGCAAAGGCGGAAGCACCAGCAGTGCCAGGAGGGTTACCAGGAGGGCCAGCAGCAGGATCAGGAGCAGCAGAATCAGAAGAGGAATCAGCAGGAAAGGCGGAGGGGCCGCCCCAGTAGTTGGGCGCCCGGCCAGCAGGCCACTGACGGATGGCTGTAGCCGCCTCTGGGAGCACCGGCTTCAGCAGTGCCGGGGGCCTCCACCCCCCGGATGACCCCCCACTCCCTCCTCCTCCTGTTGCTCCTCCCCCTCCTCCACCTCCTATTCCACCACCTGCTGACGTGGCGGAAGCAGGGTCGGAGAGCGGGCGTTCAGAGGGAGAATCGGAGAACATTCCAGAAGCAGCGGCGGCGGCTGCTGAGTCAGCAGCAGCGGCGGAGGATGCCGTGGCAGGAGGGCGGTGGGACCACGGAGCAGAGTCATCCACAGACGTGTTACCAGCTCCACCGTTACTCATGCCTGCATAACTCACCCCTCCATTAGTATCACCCCCATTAGTGGCACCGTAACCTGGGCCAATGGCGCCCTGGTTGTAAGCAGACGATTGCCCAAACTGCTGCTGGTGCTGCAGCTGCTGGTAGGGCTGGTTGGCTTGGTATGGCTGAGTGCCTGCATATGGCTGATTGACTCCATATGGCTGAGTGGGTGGGTATGGCCGATAGGCAGAGCTCATGCCCGCAGCCTGTGCCCTGCCTGACTCACCCCCTGCTCCTGCTGCCGCTCCTCCTGCTGCTGCTGGCGCTGTGCTAGTAGTGGTGCCTCCCTGCTGTGCTGCTGCAGACTCCCACGGCTACTTCAGGGGATCAAACGCGGCGAACAGCCGGGGTGGGTGTGGGGGGGGGGGGAAGGGGGGAAGAGGAGGAGAGGAGGTGAGGGAGGTGAGAGAGGTGAGAGAGGTGAAAGAGGTGAGAGAGGTGAGAGAGGTGAGGGAGGTGAGAGAGGTGAGAAAGGTGAGGGAGGTGAGAGAGGTGAGAGAGGTGAGGGAGGTGAGAGAGGTGAGAGAGGTGAGGGAGGTGAGAGAGGTGAGAGAGGTGAGGTGAGGGAGGTGAGAGAGGTGAGGGAGGTGAGAGAGGTGAGAGAGGTGAGAGAGGTGAGAGAGGTGAGAGAGGTGAGAGAGGTGAGAGAGGTGAGAGAGGTGAGAGAGGTGGGGTAAATTGCTGCTGTGCTGTTGGAGGTGCCTCCGTGCGTTGAGGCAAAAGACCCGTCAGGGCTTCTTCAGGGAATCAAACACAGGCGAGGAGGAGGAGAGGAGGGAAAAGGGGGTGGGGGAGCTGGGGTGGGCACAGCGAGAAAGGTAAGGCACGGGGAAGAGATGGAGCAGCGAAGGAAGAGATGGAGCAGCGAAGGAAGAGATGGAGCAGCAAAGGAAGATGTGAAGGGCAAGAGGGGTGAGCTTGGAAGTCCAGGCCTTTTGAAGAATTCTCAAGGAAACCTACAACTCTAGGGACGGGGAAGGTATGGTGCGGAAAGGTGTGAGCGGCAAGAGGGGTGGGCTTGGGAACGGGCACGGCTGCACGGGAAGGAAACGAGGGTCTGGCAGGGCAACAGCATACCTTCAGCGGGCGTGCAAGGCGTTTTTGAGAATTCTCAAAAACACCCTGCAAAATCATGGGATTGGGACGGGGCAGAGCTGCACTCGAAAGAAAAGAGGCTCTGTCAGGGCAGCAGCATACCTTGAGAGGGCGCGCAAGGCGGGAGTCTGATGGGGGCTGATCCGGATTAGGGGGCTTGTCGTTGATGTCCTGAGGGCCACACAGGGACGGGCATGGGTATGGGGATGGAGACGCAAAAAGGAAGGAGGAGGGGGGGGGGGGGGGGGGGGAGGAGGGGGAGAGCATGGCAGCCAGTCGGTGAGTTGGATATGTGATTTAAAAAAAAAAAAAGCAACTCTGAGGGGGGCTGGTCGGGAGGGGGCTTGTCGTTGATGTCCCGAGGGACGGGGATGGCGATGGTGATGCAGTGGGGAGTTGGGGGGGGGGGGGGGGCAGACATTAGGCGAGTTTTGGGACGAGCCAAAGGGCAACGACATAGAGAAGGTGGAGGCAGGACAGAACAGGGGTAGTCGAGTACCAGGACAGGTACGGACTTAGTTGCTACAAACGCTCTGGGAGACAAGCGTTTGGCGTTCAAACGCTAGCGTTTGAACGCAAACGCCAAACGCACCCAAAAACGCAAACGCTCTCTGGGATTTTTTTCGGGCTGCCCCCCCAAAAAAAACACGAGATTGTCGTTGGAGAATAGCCTTAAGGATAGGTGATTTACATGACATATGAGGATGCTGGCTTAAATGTTAAGCACGGTTCTTTTTTATGAGACAAAATGCTTGCTGGTAGAACCCCCATGTTTCCCCCCTCCCCCACAGGAATCTTGAACCCCTGCCCGGGTAAAAATTTTACCCCTGCCCGGGCAAGCGTTTGCCTAGCGTTCACATACATGCTGCCGAGCGTTTAGCGTTCAAACGCTAGCGTTTAAACGCTAGCGTTCAAACGCCAAACGCGTTTGTAGCAACTAAGGGTACGGACAGCGGAGAGAGAGAGAGGGGGTCCTGGAACAAGTAGTTTTGGTGTTGACGAAGTTTGGAGGGCATTTTCGGTAAGTACCTGGATTCCAGGGGGTGTTTCTCCCCGCTTCACCATTTCCATCACCTGCGCAATAAATTGGAGGAAACATCAGAAAGATCAGCAGAACTCGCCTAATGTCTGCCCATTTCCATTTCCATCACCTGATCTTTCAGAAAGATCAGCAGCAGCAGCAACAGCAGCAGCAGCAAACAGAACGTCATGATTAGGCATGGAACAAGTAGCGGGAATTGCAAAGGCTAAGAGTAAAGACTGTGAGGCACCACAAGGGGGATTGGAAAATAAACTGCAGTTAGTATCAGCTAACCTTGGTGAATAAAGCACCCCGTACCTCATAGAAGGACTTGGGATGGGGAGGGCCGTTGGCGGCCGCTGCACCAGATGCCCCGGCACCAGTAGCACCACCACCACTGCCACTGCCAGCGCCTACCCCACCGGCAGAAGCAGTGGGTGAGGGAGCGCTAGACGGCCGCCAGGGCTGGGCGGAGTAGGGCTGCGGGGCGTAGGGCTGGGAGTAGGCGGCGGACCCGCTCTGCTGCGGCTGCTGGTTGGGGGGGCGAGATGCGAGGGCTGACACGGGCCACGGGGGAATGGAACGGGTCCAACAAGAGGCGTCGGTGAGAGAGCAAAAGAGAGACTACAAAGTGAAAGACACAAGGACGGGAGCATATGGAGAGGTCGGCAGGGACGCGCGGGAACGGAATGGGAGATGGCAGGGCGGTGGGGATGGGGGATGCGCAGAGAGAGAGTGAACTACTAAGGACGGAAATCGAGCAGCGAGATGGGCATGGATGGATGGACTCACCACTGCGCATGTTCGATCCAGCAGCAGCAATGCCAGCAGCTGCAGCACCCACAGAAACCGGAATGCCCGCTGTACCAGCCGCACCACCAGCAGCACCGCCAGCAGCGTTAGCCGCCTTGAGCTGCTGCACTTCAGCAGTCATGGCCTCTAACGCCCGCAGCAGAGCCTCCTGCGACCCCTCCTTCCTGCCCCCCCTCCTCCCTCCCCCCCCCCTGTCCTTGCCCTTCCCTCTCCGCCCTGCCCTGCCCCCGCCATGCCCTCCCTTCCCCTTCCTCCCCTTCCCCCGCTCCTCCTCACTGTCAGTATCTGATGACTCTGACTCGCTCTCTGACTCACTGCTGCTGCTGCTGCTGCTGCTTCCTTCCTCCTCTTCCTGCACCTCCTCCTCTCCAGCATCCCCTTCAGCCTTGAGTTTATCTGGATCAGAGATCTGCCCCCTTCTGCTCGCCCTCTTCCCCTTGCTGGTCTTCTTTGCTGCCCGCTTGCTCCTGCTCTTGCCTGCTCGCATGCAAGGGGAAGAGGCCGCAGAGATAGTCGAGTTCTGAGACGTCTTAAAAAGGTTTGTCAGCAACTCGAGACTTCTTTGCTGCCGGCATGCTCCGGCTCTTGTGCTTGCACATAAGGGGAAGAGGCTGGACTAGCAGGTGCAGACGGCAATGCAATCACACTTGCAGGCACACATGCAGGCACACATGCAATCACACATGCAATCACCCACGCAATCACACATGCAATCACACATGCAATCACACATGCAATCACACATGCAATCACATATGCAGGCACACATGCAATCACACATGCAATCACGCATGCAATCACGCATGCAATCACACATGCAATCACACATGCAATCGCACATGCAAGCACACATGAGAGCACACACGCAGGCACACATGCACATGGGCACGCATACATAGGATAGGATGCATGGACCGATGCGCATGATTGCAATGGTAGTGGGGGCAGGAGCACGAACATATAATCACGCAGAAGCATGCGTGCATGTGCATGCACACACGGATACAACATGACCCACGTGTGTGTGAGGGCACGCACACAGCATTTAGACTGGGTGCAAGCATGCACAAGGTGCACACACTATCAAAATACGGGTGTTAGATTTAAGCAACCGCTCACTGTACCACCAGAGGGGACACACAGCATGAGAGAGTAACACACAGAGATTACACAAGAATGTGGCACAAAAACGGCAAACAAACATGCTCTTTTTGTCACCTTCACATTAACACAAAACAACGGAGCGTAGTTAACGGCAGTAAAGTGAGATCCACCAAGGTGCTTGCATGATTAATTACCTCTCTTGGAAGTTTCTTCCGCTGCAGTTTCCTGCAACCAAGTCTTGAGTCGTGGGAGAACAAGCCGCTGCACAGCCGTAGTGGGGGCAGGGGAGGGAGGGAGTACCAATGGTATGGGGGCAGGGGAGGGAGGTAGTACCAATGGTATGGGGGCAGGGGAGGGAGGTAGTACCAATGGTATGGGGGCAGGGGAGGGAGGTAGTACCAATGGTATGGGGGCAAGGGAGGGAGGTAGTACCAATGGTATGGGGGCAGGGGAGGGAGGTAGTACCAATGGTATGGGGGCAAGGGAGGGAGGTAGTACCAATGGTATGGGGGCAGGGGAGGGAGGTAGTACCAATGGTATGGGGGCAGGGGAGGGAGGTAGTACCAATGGTATGGGGGCAGGGGAGGGAGGTAGTACCAATGGTATGGGGGCAGGGGAGGGAGGTAGTACCAATGGTATGGGGGCAGGGGAGGGAGGGAGTACCAATGGTATGGGGGCAGGGGAGGGAGGTAGTACCAATGGTATGGGGGCAGGGGAGGGAGGTAGTACCAATGGTATGGGGGCAGGGGAGGGAGGTAGTACCAATGGTATGGGGGCAGGGGAGGGAGGGAGTACCAATGGTATGGGGGCAGGGGAGGGAGGTAGTACCAATGGTATGGGGGCAGGGGAGGGAGGTAGTACCAATGGTATGGGGGCAGGGGAGGTACCAATGAACGTTGCGGCAAGGAAAGAAGATCGGAGCACAAGAGGAGACACCAGCACAAGCATGTGAAAGGAAGGATAGGGAGATACAGCAATTGAGGGGGGGAGAGGAGGCGGGAAGCGGGGGCGGAGAGAGAGAACAGGGGACAACCGAACATGGGGGACCGTAATGAGGGTAAACACGCCCGGTTCACCTTGGCAACGGCAGCCGTGCCCGCAGTGCCTGCCCCGACAACAGCAAGAGCCACAGCAAGCTTCGACCACGAAAACGCCTGCTGCTGTGCCTGCTGTGGACCACCACCAGCGCCAGCAGCACCAGGGGTAGCAGGAGCAGCAGGGGCAGCAGCGGCAGCAGGCAGAGCAGTGCTGGGTGTGGGCTCTGCTGCAGTAGCGGCTGTTGCGGCTGTAGTGGCTACAGCAGGTGGCTTGCGAGTGGCCGGCAGGGGCTGGGAAGAGGAGGGCACTTCAACGTCTTCTGACCCTGTGGAGGGGTCCTGGTGGGGGGGGACAGGGAGGGCACGGAGCAGCAAGCCACGTTAACCTCCTCAGCTCAGCTGCCATCCCCTTGCGCTCCACAAAGCTCACTCAACGAATGAATGCCTTAGCCTCCCCCCCACCCCCTCTCTCCCCCCATTCTCCACGCCCCCCTCCCCCCCCCCTCCTCTCCCCCCCCCTCTTCCCCCACTCTCCACGTCCTCCCCCCAATCTCCTCCCCCCCCTCCCCCCCCCTCCTCCCCCTTTTCCCTCCCACCCGCGGCCTTCCGGCAAAGCAAACTCACCGTAAGTGATTTTTGAGTCAACTCAAAAATCGCAAACTCACCGGGCAGCGTCTGAAAGCCTCGTCAATCTCCTCAGCCGACATGCCCTTGCGCTCCAGGAAGGCTCGGCGGAACCGGACCGGGGAGCTCCGGACCTTAGGGTTGGACAGGAAGCTGACGGCCTGCCGAACCATGTCCTCCCGCACCGGCTGCTTCGGGATGAAAGGCTCGGAGGGGCTGGCGGTGCTGCCTGGTGTGGTGGTCGACTCGTAAGGCTTGGGGGGCCTGGGGGTGCTGTCTGATGCGCTTGGCGGCTTCGCTGCTGGTGAAGGTGGTGGTGGCTGTGGCCCTGCTACCAGCTGTGGTGCTGCGGGTGCTGCTGGTGCTGCTGGTGCTGCTGGTGCAGCCATGGCAGGCATTGCTGGTGCAGCTGCTGGGTGGGAGAAGGTAAGGAAGGAGGCAGCGGCGAGGGGGAATAGGTCTGGTCTCTGGAGTTCCAAAAGACAAGTCAGAAACGAGCAGAGACCAGACCTATTGCGGCTGGGCAAACCTGGGATGAAGTAGAGACCGAACGAGCAGTGCGTGCACTTTGTAAGCTCGTACCTACCTGCTGGCGGTAGGTGAAACTTGTGAGAATCCTTAAAAATAGTTGAATGCACTCTGACAGCTCGTACCTGCTGCTTCTACTGGGAGTGGCACCCCCGTTCCAGGTGTTGCAGAATTAGAGCTGGCGTCGCCATCGCCCTCCATAACAACGAATGTGGAAAAAATCCGTCGACCAGTCCGGTCGAGTTCACAATTTCGGCAGCCTATTACAGGAGCAGAGTGAATGAAAGTGGGGTGCGGTAAAGAGGCAGTTTTTCCCTCCGTCTTCTGGAGGCAGTGGATAAATTTTCGACGTTAGTAAGCTCAACTAGCGATCGGTGCTTATGCGTCTCAGCAGGATTGGCGTTCAAAAAGCATGCTAACGCAAGAGAGATGAAAGCGCATGTTTATGGACAAGTCACCAGACAGGAAGGGGCTTTGGTTCGCACCGACAAAGAGTACGGAACGGATAAAGCCAAACCTGGAACCGAGATGTGATAACTCTAGGCTCACCCTTCCAACGAGGATAGCGAAGGCGGACGATACAAGACGTCTGCGTCAAGCAGCAGGACCTAGAGACTGGAAGACCGAATGAATGGAAGGGAAGGGCCGAGATTGAGGATACCGGTGGCTGCGGAGGCTGGGAAATGCGTCTTAGAAATGTTGAGGGAACAGATAAGTGGGGACCACAGAAATGTAGTGCATTAGTGGACAATCGGCCAAAAAGCACGAGGAAGCGGAACACTACGAATGTGCTTTCCATTCAATTTCAACATTTGCACCAAACAAATCACCTTGAATGAACTACACTAATGATTATGCTAGTCCCTACCAGAGTAAATAATATCTATAATTTATTTTCAGCCCTAAGCGCAGTCCTCTGCGTGAAAATTATCTCGAATCACACATCATGTTGATCTGTTATCCAAATGTTTTTTATGAATTGTTATTTCCGAGATTTACTGCTTCTTATATGTGCGCCATGGATGAAATGCTTGCAGCGAGTATCATCTGACGAACCCAGGCATAGACATGTTTCTTCAGGTTTGACTGGTGGGCCCATGCAAGGCGTGGTCGGGGAAACCAATTCGTTTCCGTGTGTAGATTTTGCCCCATCAAATCTGAAGGTAAACTGTTATTTTACACCATTTTGGCGTAAATACAAACGCACCCGATTACTGGGAGGTTTTTTCGAGGAAACCACTATTTTTTCGGGTCGGTGCTGCTGAGATCTGAAAAGCACTAAGCCGTCTTGTGATCTAACCTACGGCGTTAGGAATCGATGAAAGAAGTTTAAACATTCATGTTAGAATTGTTCTTGCGACAATGTTTAGGAATCGCGTGGTGAAAGCAATGGACGTTCTCGAAAGCCACCCCACTAAACAGTCTCGTAATCTGAAGCAAGGCTTGTGGATGTCACCCTGCGCTGCTACCCTTTTGCCAGGATGGGGTAAGCCACCAGGCGAAGGGAATCCACTCGAGAGTCGTCGTTATCCAATCACCTAGCGGAAGTAGCCGTGTTGTGCTTTCGTCAATCAAGGCAATGGTGACACGTTCGCACATATTCGCCACATCACCTTCAAACTCACCCACTCCAGCCCAGAATCTGCAACACTAGATAGCTTTCTCAGTCCTCCTTACTTGTCGTAATGATATTCCTGTTTTATTCCCACGGAACTCCTTTCAGGGTTCCTCATGTGCTCGTTCATGCTCATATGTAGCTGGAAGGCGAATGGTGTCGTCGCGTTTTGTCGTAGGCGCGGGAGTGGAGGCTGAGGCGTCACACTTTGCCATGCGGTCGAGGCGATGTGCGCGAGATCCTGAGGGCTGAGTGACTCCTTCCATCCGAGACAATGGCGGATCCGACTGAGGCGCGAGGCGCGAGGATAAATGCATCGAGGCTCGACGAAGGTGAGTGCGCCGGTCCCTAAACCCGTCCGCTTCCAATGCTTGTCGCGATTCACATTGAATCGCGCCTGAAATCGTGCTAGACCGTATGATTGTACAGAATAAGTGTGTTGACTCGTATCGTGGCGGCTTCTATAGAGTCACTGCTGCGTCCAAACCCTCGTGACGCATTCAGCGCTCGAAGCCGCCTAGAAAAATGGCCGCGTAGGCGAAAGGGCATCACTATTTTATGCCACCTCTTCATTTTCGTCGGGGTGGCTTAGTCACCCCTCTACAGTCACCCTTCTCACGTTGGCTCCGTCTGCATTTGAATTGGATTCGCGCTTGAAGATCCCCCTAGTCTCAGTTGCTCTGTTTTCCTTTGATCATTTTCGACCATCTTGCGCACCTTTTCAGGTCCGTCTTAGCCTCCGTGGTCCCAGTGCAAGCAGCACTATGCATACGAAATACGACTGATCGATTGAGTGCACTTGAAGCTAACGCAGACGTCCAACCAACAAAGGGTAAGTTTCCGTGCGTCTAACACGCGCTTTGTCAAATTTGACGACTCTTGGCGTATTAAGATTGCTGTAATAGTACCAGTCGTTTTAGGCTGTTTATGTCCGGCGACTCAATTAGAGTCACTGGTGTGCCTGATTCACCGTGGCACATGCAGCGCTCAAGGTCGCCTAAAGCACGGTCAAACGGGGCGGAACTATACCCAGGCACGCAGATTACCAGTGGTGGTGCCTCTGTCCCCCTCCCCACATTACTATGCGCGGTATCTTCGCTGGACATGTGCGGATGGGTTCAGTGAGACTCATGGGTTGACCGATCCTCTATTTTGTAACTGCAGGTTTGCGTGCACGCGCTATTGCATCTGCGTGGAGTTTCGTCAGTATTCATCAAATTGTTCAGAGAAATTGGGATGTGGCTAGTTTCGCAAGTAGAAGATTTGAAAGTATATAGCTGTCCTGCTGTATCCGCATTGAAATAATGCCAAGTTTGAAGACTAGACGCAATTTTGTTGGAAACAATCAAGTAACGTTAGAAATGCCGTTCTGGGACAGTTAGAGTGCGGTTGAGGTTTTTTTGGATGAGAAGGACATCATGTTCAGACAGGTTCTTAAGGATGCACTCCCCTTATGTGTTGAATGCATTCCCCTTTGGACCACTACAAGTGAGATCGCTCCCCTCCCCCACCCACTCCCATAGCATTTATAACTACAATTCACGAGAACTATATACAGTGATTGCAATTGCATGCATTTTACTAATGCATGAATGATCACATCAACGTCGCATCAAACTGCAGTCGCCGACATGGTGGAAGGGAACTCATCGGCAGCCCTGACTGGCTCCTCAGCGTTAGCAGCATCGGTCTTGCAAAGAAACTCTGTTATAACGGGAAACACTTCCTCTGGGGCCTGGAATGGCAACAACAGACGGCAGCACACAGAGCACGCCACGCCATGCCATCGTCAGCATCATGTGTCCAGTGGTGCTTGTTAGACATGTGCAGAAAAACTCGTGCTAGACAGATGTTTGACATACGGTACAACGACAAACACAACCGGACATGGCATGACATGGCATGCTTACATGTTTCCCCACAAGCATGTCGTAGTGCCCGTAGCGGCGGTTGTCCGAACCGCCAAACAGCCGGTACTCAACACTGGCTGATGGGATGGCCTTAAGAGTCTCTGCAAAACACACAGTGCATCGGACGGAGGAGGAAAGGGGGGGTGTGTGTCCAGAGGTACACAAAAGGGACATACAGCTCAGGTGGTATAAGAAGCGAGAAGAAACACAGGCAGGGTGAACGATTCTGTAACAAGGAGGCAACCGCTGAGTCGCAGCGAGAAGACCAAGGCAGACGGTATGCGCATGTCACTCATCTCCAGCAGGAGCAAGGATGGCAGTGTGGGAGACCGCAGCCTGCTATACTGACTGACTTGTAGTCAGCAGCGGCGGGCAGATGCCGTCAGCATCGCCAGCAAGTAACCAGCAGTGTTACAAGAGAGGTACACTAACCTGTAACCAGGAGAGCTACTCGGACTGACCTTTTACGAGCAGCGGCGGGCAGACACCGTCAGCATCACCAGCAAGCGCCAGGATGGGAGTGGAACAGTCCCTCAGCCCCTTGAGGTACGAGATGGACCCGCTGCGGCTGCGCAGGCCACCAGGAATGAAAATGGACTCCATTTGCAGGAGCAGCTTGACAGGGATGGTGCCTGTGGTAGGGGGGGGTAGGGGGGGTGAATAGAGGATGAGTAGGGGTGAGTAAGGGTTGAGTAAGGGTTGAGAGGGTAGGGGGGGTTGAGAAACGAGATGGACCCAGTGCGGCTGCGCAGGCCACCGAAAATGAAGATGGACTCCATCTGCAGCAGCAGCTTGACGGGAATGGTGCCTGGGGGGGCGGCAACAAGGACATGGAAAGAAAGGGACTTGACTTGCTGCGGCTGCGCAGGCCACCGGGAATGAAGATGGAATACAGTTCAAGCAGCAGCTTGATGGGATATCCTGCCTGCAAAGCAAAGGGGGATGGGGAATGAGGGGTGATAGCGAATCACACAGGATGGTAGATCAAATCGCTCCGGCTGCAAATAGTCCCTGAGATGAAGATAGACCCCATTTCAGGCAGCAGCTTGACAGAAATGGTGCCTCTAAAGGGGGGGGGGGGGGGGGGGGGGAAGGAACACGCATAGAGAAAAACAATGACCCTGAGCCGATGCAGTTGCCAACTGCATGAGCTTCGTGAAGAGCCCAGGGTCCATGGCGCCCCTGGCCGATGCCTCATGCGCATCGCACCAGTGTCCAACCAACTCCCCATGAGATGCGTTTCAGAATACGCTACCCCAACCCAGCCCGCATTCACAGAAGCTGTTCTGAATGATCTTCACTCAGAGCCCAGGGTCCATGGCATCCCTGGCTCATGCCGCATGCGCGTCACAATGTCCCACCCACTTACACCAATATCCCACCCACTTACACCAATGTCCCACCCACTTACACCAATGTCCCACCCACTTACACCAATGTCCCACCCACTTACACCAATGTCCCACCCACTTACACCAATGTCCCACCCACTTACACCAATGTCCCACCCACTTACACCAATGTCCCACCCACTTACACCAATGTCCCACCCACTTACACCACTGTCCCACCCACTTACACCAATGTCCCACCCACTTACACCAATGTCCCACCCACTTACACCAATGTCCCACCCACTTACACCAATGTCCCACCCACTTACACCAATGTCCCACCCACTTACACCAATGTCCCACCCACTTACACCAATGTCCCACCCACTTACACCAATGTCCCACCCCACTTACACCAATGTCCCACCCACTTACACCAATGTCCCACCCTCACCTCCCCCCTCCCTCCCACCCACTTACACCAATGTCCCACCCACTTACACCAATGTCCCACCCACTTACACCAATGTCCCACCCACTTACACCAATGTCCCACCCACTTACACCAATGTCCCACCCACTTACACCAATGTCCCACCCCACTTACACCAATGTCCCACCCACTTACACCAATGTCCCACCCACTTACACCATGTCCCACTCACCAATGTCCCACCCACTTACACCAATGTCCCACCCACTTACACCAATGTCCCACCCACTTACACCAATGTCCCACCCACTTACACCAATGTCCCACCCACTTACACCAATGTCCCACCACTTACACCAATGTCCCACCCACTTACACCAATGTCCACCCACTTACACCAATGTCCCACCCACTTACACCAATGTCCCACCCACTTACACCAATGTCCCACCCACTTACACCAATGTCCCCACCCACTTACACCAATGTCCCACCACTTACACCAATGTCCCACCCACTTACACCAATGTCCCACCCACTTACACCAATGTCCCACCCACTTACACCAATGTCCCACCCACTTACACCCAATGTCCCACCCACTTACACCAATGTCCCACCCACTTACACCAATGTCCCACCCACTTACACCAATGTCCCACCCACTTACACCAATGTCCCCACCCACTTACACCAATGTCCCACCCACTTACACCAATGTCCCACCCACTTACACCAATGTCCCACCCACTTACACCAATGTCCCACCCACTTACACCAATGTCCCACCCACTTACACCAATGTCCCACCCACTTACACCAATGTCCCACCCACTTACACCAATGTCCCACCCACTTACACCAATGTCCCACCCACTTACACCAATGTCCCACCCACTTACACCAATGTCCCACCCACTTACACCAATGTCCCACCCACTTACACCAATGTCCCACCCACTTACACCAATGTCCCACCCACTTACACCAATGTCCCACCCACTTACACCAATGTCCCACCCACTTACACCAATGTCCCACCCACTTACACCAATGTCCCACCCACTTACACCAATGTCCCACCCACTTACACCAATGATTCCCACCCCACTTACACCAATGTCCACCCACTTACACCAATGTCCCACCCACTTACACCAATGTCCCACCCACTTACCAATGTCCACCCACTTACACCAATGTCCCACCCACTTACACCAATGTCCCACCCACTTACACCCAATGTCCCACCCACTTACACCAATGTCCCACCCACTTACAACCAATGTCCCACCCACTTACACCAATGTCCCACCCACTTACACCAATGTCCCACCCACTTACACCAATGTCCCACCCACTTACACCAATGTCCCACCACTTACACCAATGTCCCACCCACTTACACCAATGTCCCACCACTTACACCAATGTCCCACCCACTTACACCAATGTCCCACCCACTTACACCACTGTCCCCCATTACACAATGTCCCACCCACTTACACCAATGTCCCACCCACTTACACCAATGTCCCACCCACTTACACCAATGTCCCACCCACTTACACCAATGTCCCACCCACTTACACCAATGTCCCACCCACTTACACCAATGTCCCACCCACTTACACCAATGTCCCACCCACTTACACCAATGTCCCACCCACTTACACCAATGTCCCACCGACCACTTACACCAATGTCCCACCCCACTTACACCAATGTCCCACCCACTTACACCAATGTCCCACCCCACTTACACCAATGTCCCCACCCACTTACATACCCAATGTCCCACCCACTTACACCAATGTCCCCACCCACTTACACCAATGTCCCACCCACTTACACCAATGTCCCACCCCCCACTTACAACCAATGTCCCCACCCACCACTTACACCAATGTCCCACCCACAATGTCACCACTTACCCAATGTCCCACCCACTTACACCAATGTCCCACCCACTTACACCAATGTCCCACCCACTTACACCAATGTCCCACACCACTGTACTACACCTTCCACCCACTTACACCAATGTCCCACCCACTACACACTGTCCCCCACTTACACCAATGTCCACCCACTTACACCAATGTCCCACCCACTTACACCAATGTCCCACCCACTTACACCAATGTCCCACCCACTTTACACCAATGTCCCACCCACTTACACCAATGTCCCACCCACTTACACCAATGTCCCACCCACTTACACCACTGTCCCACCCACTTACACCAATGTCCCACCCACTTACACCAATGTCCCACCCACTTACACCCAATGTCCCACCCACTTACACCCAATGTCCCACCCACTTACACCAATGTCCCACCCACTTACACCAATGTCCCACCCACTTACACCAATGTCCCACCCACTTACACCATGTCCCACCCACTCCCCCCCCCTTCCCACCCCACTTACACCAATGTCCCCACCCACTTACACCAATGTCCCACCCACTTACACCAATGTCCCACCCACTTACACCAATGTCCCACCACTTACACCAATGTCCCACCCACTTAACCAATGTCCCACCCACTTACACCAATGTCCCACCCACTTACACCAATGTCCCACCCACTTACACCAATGTCCCACCCACTTACACCACTGTCCCACCCACTTACACCAATGTCCCACCCACTTACACCAATGTCCCACCCACTTACACCAATGTCCCACCCACTTACACCAATGTCCCACCCCACTTACACCAAATGTCCCCACCCACTTACCCCAATGTCCCACCCACTTACACCAATGTCCCACCCACTTACACCAATGTCCCACCCACCTTACACCAATGTCCCACCCACTTACACCAATGTCCCACCCACTTACACCAATGTCCCACCCACTTACACCAATGTCCCACCCACTTACACCAATGTCCCCACCCACTTACACCAATGTCCCACCCACTTACACCACTGTCCCACCCACTTACACCAATGTCCCACCCACTTACACCAATGTCCCACCCACTTACACCAATGTCCCACCCACTTACACCAATGTCCCACCCACTTACACCAATGTTCCCACCCCTCCCAACCCACTTTACACCAATGTCCCACCCACTTACACCAATGTCCCACCCACTTCACTTCCACACTACCATGTCCCACCCACTTACAACCAATGTCCCACCCACTTACACCAATGTCCCCCACTTACCACTGTCCACCCACTTACACCAATGTCCCACCCACTTACCACCCAAATGTCCCACCCACTTACACCAATGTCCCACCCACTTACACCAATGTCCCACCCACTTACACCAATGTCCCACCCACTTACACCAATGTCCCACCCACTTACACCAATGTCCCACCCACTTACACCAATGTCCCCACCCACTTACACCAATGTCCCACCCACTTACACCATGTCCCACCCACTTACACCAATGTCCCACCCACTTACACCCCACATGTCCCCACCCACTTACACCAATGTCCCACCCACTTACACCAATGTCCCACCCCACTTACACCAATGTCCCACCCACTTACACCAATGTCCCACCCACTTACACCAATGTCCCACCCACTTACACCAATGTCCCACCCACTTACACCAATGTCCCACCACTTACACCATGTCCCACCCACACCTGTCCCACCCACTACACCATGTCCCACCCACTTACACCAATGTCCCACCCACTTACACCAATGTCCCACCCACTTACACCAATGTCCCACCCACTTACACCAATGTCCCACCCACTTACACCAATGTCCCACCCACTTACACCAATGTCCCCCCCAATGTCCACCCACTTACACAATGTCCCACCCACTTACACCAATGTCCCACCCCACTTACACCAATGTCCCAC